AAAAAAAAAAAAAAAAAGACTATCTTTGAAACTGATAGCCTGCTAATAGATTATTATTTCCAATATGTTGGGAAGTCATAGCTTTACAACATGCTTGTCTTTCTTTGGCTCAAGGATTCGATCCTTGTGAATTATAATGAACCATGAGAAGGGAAAAAAATTAGAGGTCGATATTTGCATGTTGGTGTAAACACATAAAGAGATTTTGTTTTGAAGATAGATATGACAGCAATAGGGGAGAAGTAAAGAGGACTTTGAAATTATTGCCCACTGGATAATTTTTTTCCTCAGAGTTAGTTCCAGGCACTTGCTCTTGTGGAATGAATCTGAATTTGTTTACTTCCTGGTGCCTAAAGTTACAATACGGGCTTGTGTACATGTGAGAAGGGTTAGGAAAGGTACATGTCCCTTTTTAATCATTTAAATAGCCTCTTATTCACTTGTATTATCAATAAGCTCTAAATAACACAAAATATTAGAGCACATAAAGGAATGGCTTTATTTAGTTATTTATTCATTCATTCATTTTTTGAGACAGAGTCTCACTGTCACCCAGGCTGGAATGTAGTGGCACAATCTCAGTTTACTACAAGCTCCGCCTCCCGGGTTCAAGTGATTCTCCTGCCTCAGCCTCCTGAGTAGCTGGGACTACAGACGTGCACCACCATGCCCGGCTAATTTTTGTACTTTTTTTTGTTTTTGTTTTTGTTTTTGTTTTTTTGAGACGGAGTCTCGCTCTGTCCCCCAGGCTGGAGTGTAGTGCCCGGATCTCAGCTCACTGCAAGCTCCGCCTCCCAGGTTTACGCCATTCTCCTGCCTCAGCCTCCTGAGTAGCTGGGACTACAGGCGCTCGTCACCCCGCCCGGCTAGTTTTTTGTATTTTTTAGTAGAGACAGGGTTTCACTGGATTAGCCAGGATGGTCTTGATCTCCTGATCTTGTGATCCGCCCGTCTCGGCCTCCCAAAGTGCTGGGATTACAGGCTTGAGCCACCACACCCGGCCTAATTTTTGTATTTTTAGTAGAGACGGGGTTTCACCATATTGGCCAGGCTGGGCTCAAACTCCTGACCTTGTGATCAACCCCCACCTTGGCCTCCCAAAGTGCTGGGATTACAGATGTGAGCCACTGCGCCTGGCAGCTTCTTTTATTTTTATGTTTGGTGTGTGAAAAGACTGAATTTTTAAAAATTCTACTATTCCAATGTCATCTAAACTCTGTTAAGTTTTGAAGTGACTGATGGGGAATGGAAGAGGTCAAATAGCTTAGTAGTGACTCCACCTGAGCAAGTTACTTAATCTTTTTTGTTCCCTTTATTCTGTGTAAAGGGGATAATAACAGAGCAATTGCCCTAGCATCTGGCACATGATAATAGTTAACATTTATGTCTCTCAAGTGAAGCCTTCATAGTAGCATTTTTGAGTTTTCATATTTGACTTTGATTATAAATCTACTCTTCCTAATACCTCTTAGCTATACTCCCACTTAGATACACAAAAGAGTGAAATAAATTTGATACTAATTTACTAATGCAAACAAGTAGGTCCTCTGCATTCACAGGTATAACAGAACTTTAGACTCTTCTTAAGCAACCCTAGCAACCCTAGGTAGTCACAGATTTTTATTTGTTTATTTATTTATTTTTGAGACAGAGTCTCACTCTGTCGCCCAGGCTGGAGTGCAGTGGCGCGACCTCGGCTCACTGCAAGCTCTGCCTCCCGGGTTCAAGTGATTCTCCTGCCTCAGCCTCCCGAGTAGCTGGGATTACAGGCGCCCGCCACCACGCCCGGCTAATTTTTTGTATTTTTAGTAGAGACAGGGTTTCACCGTGTTAGCCAGGATGGTCTCGATCTCCTGACCTCGTGATCCGCCCACATCGGCCTCCCAAAGTGCTGGGATTACAGGCGTGAGCCACTGCACCTGGCCTGTTTATTTGTTTTAATTTTGTTGTGCCAGAGGGCCAATGAGTATTGGATAGTCTGCTCACTCACCAATAGGGACTCAAATGCTGCATGAATGCTTCTTAAAAGATCATACTATAAAAAGAAAGGTTTACTATATCCTTCAAGACATGACAGACTTGAAGAATTGGTCTATTTCTCAAAAAGGTGACATTTATAAGTTGAGCTAGATAAGTAACAACATACGAAAATTATTTCTTACCTTAACAAGAGCTAAAACATGTCAAACATATCACATACAATTCTTCCATTAGATAGTTATCCAGTTGGCAGCTTTTTTGAACACTTATGGACAGGGCACTGATCTAATCATTTATGTGAACTAATTTATTTAACCATTAATAATAACATGATGAATATGTTCCAATAATGCAGAATACCAGAAAACTAGTTTTAGCATAAAAGGTTTTTTTTGTTTGTTTTTTTTTTTGAGACGGAGTCTCGCTCTGTCTCTCTGGCTGGAGTGCAGTGGCACAATCTTGGCTCACTGCAAGCTCCACCTCCTGGGTTTTAAGCCATTCTCCTGCCTCAGCCTCCCGAGTAGCTGGGACTACAGGAGTGCACCACCTACGGCCCGCTGTGCACCACCTACACCTGGTTAATTTTTTTTTTGGTATTTTTAATAGAGACGGGGTTTCACCGTGTTAGCCAGGATGGCCTTCATCTCCTGACCTCATGATCCGCCCACCTCCGCCTCCCAAAGTGCTGGAATTACAGGCGTGAGCCACCGCGCCTGGCTAGCATAAAAGTTTTTATAAGTTCTAACTAAAATAGTGGAGTCATATAAAGTTGTTAACATTAAAAGCACTTCTTATTTAAGGTTCAATATTCACTTGCTAACTGAAAAACATTGCTAAATTATTTCACAGATGTTCAAGCCATTCTGAAAAAACATCAGAATAGAGTGAAAAAACTCTTGATGCACCAAAGCAACTTTAACAAGCCGTGATCGTCCTTCTCACATCCTAAAATACCTGGCCATTAATATTTGAAGAGGGGAAAGCCACACGATAAAGCATGCCTATGATATGCATCATGCCTAGTTCTCTAGAAGAAAAAGAAAAGAAGAAGATGAAATCCTAGGAAAGAGGGAAAAGTAATTCAATGTGAGATTTGTGGGAGGTGAGGGGGGGAATTCAAAGATTGAAACAGATAATAAAAATATCTAATCTTTTATATTTGTTGAAGCAAAAAAATCCAGAAAACAAACAACAAATGAACGAATTAGCCGTTTAGACCAGCCATCTTACCTGAAGAGTCCTTGTTTAAAAAGATAAGCACTAATATGACCCCCTTCTAAGTATCGGATCTCACAACCAGGCCAAATTTCTTGTAAACTTCGAACTCCTGTTCGTGGAATATAGGCATCTTCTTTGGCTTGAACCACTATAATGAGGCTTGGATCAACTGGTACTAGGTATAGAATTTTAAAAAATTCAACATATACACATTAGAAAATAAAAAACACCACACAATGTAGTAAATAAAACATTCATCAAACTAAACATTTTTTTTTTTTTTTGAGACAGAGTCTCACTCTGTCGCCCAGGTTGCAGTGCAGTGGCGCGATCTCGGCTCACTGCAAGCTCTGCCTCCCGGGTTCACGCCATTCTCCTGCCTCAACCTCCCGAGTAGCTGGGACTACAGGCGCCCACCACCACGCCCGGCTAATTTTTTGCATTTTTAGTAGAGACGGGGTTTCAGCCAGGATGGTTTCGATCTCCTGACCTCGTGATCCACCCGCCTCGGCCTCCCAAAGTGCTGGGATTACAGGCGTGAGCCACCACGCCTGGCCTAAACATTTTTGATTAAGTTAAAAATCAACTATAATAGGCTACATTACTCATCTCCAGTACGAGATAAACATTCTAAAAATGATACAAAATACTGTGGCTTTTTAAAATTAACTAATTTCTTTCTTTCTTTTGTGTGTGTGGGTACACAGTATATTTATGGATTACATGATGTAAGATATTTTGATACTGGCATGCAATGCATAATAATCACATCAGAGTACATGAGGTATGCATCACCTCAATAATTTATTTTAAAGATGGGATCTCACTATGTTGCCCAGGCTGAAGTGCAGTGGCTATTTACTGGCAAGATCATAGTGCACTGCAGCCTTGAACTCCTGGGCTCAAGTGATCCTCCCTCCTTAACTTCCTGAGTAGCTGGGACTACAGGTGAATGCCACCATACTCAGCAATCTAGTGGTTTTTTTTTTTTTTTTTTTTTTGGGAGACAAGAGTTTCACTTTGTCACTGAGGCTAGGGTGTAGTGGTGCAATCATAGCTCACTGCCACCTTGAATTCCTGGGCTCAAAGGATCCTCCTGCCTCAGCCTCTGAGTAGCTAGGACTACAAGCATATGCCACCACACCCAGCTAATTTATTTATTTATTTATTTTATTATTATTTTTTGAGATGGAGTCTCACTCTGGTCCCCCAGGCTGGAGTGGAATGGCACGATCTTGGCTCACTGCAATCTCTGCCTCCTGGGTTCAAGTGATTCTCCTGCCTTAGCCTCCTGAGTAGCTGGGATTACAGGCGCCTGCCACCACGCCCGGCTAATTTTTGAATTTTTAGTAGAGACGGGGTTTCACCATGTTGGCCAGGCTGGTCTCGAACTCCTGACCTTAGGTGATCTGCCCGCCTCAGCCTCCCAAAGTGCTGGGATTACAGGCTCGAGCCACCGCGCCCAGCCTATTTATTTTTGAGATGGAGTCTTGCTTTGTCACTCAGGCTGGAGTGCAGTGGAACGATCTCTGCTCATTGCAACCTCTACCTCCCGGGTTCAAGTGATTCTCCTGCCTCAGCATCCTGAGTAGCTGGGATTACAGGCGCCTGCCACCATGCCCAGCTAATTTTTGTATTTTAAGTAGAGATGGGGTTTCACCATGTTGGCTAGGATGGTCTCAAACTCCTGACCTCAAGTGATCCATCCGCCTCGGCCTTCCAAAATGCTGGGATTACAGGCGTGAGCCACTGGGCCTGGCCACCCAGCTAATTTTTACATTTTTTGTAGGGATAGGGTCTCACTATGTTGCCTGGGCTGGTGTCAAACTCCTGGGCTCAAGCGGTCCACCCACCACAGCCTCCCAAAGTGCTAGGATTACAGGCGTGAGCCATTGTGTCCAGCTCCAGAGTGTTTGTGTGTCTGTGTGACAGAGTCTTGCTCTGTCACCCAGGATGGAGTGCAGTGGTGTGATCTTGGCTCACTGCACCCTCCATCTCCTTGGGCTGAAGTGATCCTCCCACTTCAGCCTCCCAGGTAGTTGGAACTACAGGCACGCACCACCAGACGACTACTTTTTTGTAATTTTTTTTGGTAGAGACAGGGTTTTACCATGTTACCCAGGCTGGTCTTGAACTCCTGGGCTCAAGCAATCCACCTGCCTCAGCCTCCCAAAATGCTGGGATTACAGGCATGAGCCACCACGCCCGGCTGTCCAGTGTGTTTTTTAATGAGTAAGATAATCTTAAATTTTCATAGCTAGAATGTGATACATTTAAGTAAAGCAACTTATCTTTGCAAACATATTCTGGAGCCAACAAAAAAATATACCCTTGAAATATATAAAATTATCTTATAAAGCATCCTTTAAAATGTTTCACAAATATTTACACATCAGCAAATATTCTCAATTTCATATAAAAATTAGTACCTGAGAAATTTGCTACATGAGTACATTCATCCATGACACCTTTCATAAATATTAAAGATTCTTTCCGAAGATTGTTTCTTCTTTGTTCTTTACTAAGTAGGTGGTATGACTGAGGGTTGCAACTTGTATAACTACTTTTGTTGGTTGAAAGTGTTTGATTGAAGCACTTCATCTTAGAGGTATCTTGCAATAAAAGTCCTTCTGATGTTGCACTGACAGATGTTTTACTAGAATTATGGCAGTCAGCAGGTTTTTGGGATACAACTTGGTTTGTTATATCCAAATTTAAAGTTCTGGAAACCAGATTAAGGTTAGTTAGCTTGTCTGCACTGCTAGTGAAGCATTTCACAAACTCTTGTCCCATTTTGAAAGAATCTGTCTGAACATATGAAAGAAAACATTATTTAATATAAAACAGGGTTTTATTAACAACTTTGTCAAAAAAAAAAAAAGAGAAAAGACAAATGTCCATCAATGAATAAATGGATAAACAAAATGTGGTACATTCAAACAATTAAACAGTATTCAGTCTTAAAAGGAATGAAATTCTGACACATGCTACAACATGGATGAACACTGAAGACATTATCTTAAGTGAATAAGCCAGACACAAAAGGAGAAATATTGTATGATTCCACTCATATGAGGTCCCTATAGCTGTAAAATTCATAGCAATGAAAAGAGAATGGCAGCTGCCAGAGACTGGGAGAAGGGAGGAATGAGTAGTTTTGTTCAATGGGTAAGTTTCAGTTTGAAAAGATAAAAACGTTTTGGAGATAGATGGTGGTGATGATTGCACAACATGTATATACTTAATGCCACTGAACTATACACATAAAAATGGTTATGATAGTAAATTTTATGTTGTATATATTCACCATATTTTTTTTTTTTTTTT